TCCGGTTGGGAAGGGGCGGCTCACCCCGCTGTCACAGCTCCGTCTCCCGGGCCCTTCAGCTCTGCAGCTCCCCGCTGCTCTGGCCAGCAGCCCCGCACCAGCGCTCCTGGTCTGCCTTTGGCGCCGCACTGAATGCTTGCCGACTTGCACTAAGTGCTTTCTTCCTCCTTCTTCACCATCTTAAGCAAGACACTGAAAGCAATTGTGTTCAAACTCAAGTCCAGCATGGAGGTGTGATGGGACACTGACACTGGGGATGGGTGAACACCTACTGCCCCAGGCCCAGGGAAGAACCTGAACCTGATAGAAATCTGGTATCCCATGGGCGGCCAAAGGACCAAGAGCTGCTCCCCTTCCCCCTGGGCATGTCTACATGCCACTGCTGTGCCGTTGTTACTGCACATTTATTTAGTACTTGTATTAGCAAGTACTACATACTGCAAACGTGCAGTAACCAGAGTTACTGTGCAGTAGTGCCAGCAAACATCTTTTAGGTGATGCTACTGCACAGTAGCATGTTAGCGCTGTCCGTGCTGTGACGAGCTACTGCACAGTATTTTTCAGCTAGTATGTGGTCAGCGTCTCACGTGGACACGTCCCACGTTCCAGATGGAACCAAATCCCAGTGCCAGATGCCCCGCAACTGCTCCTCCTTGTCGGGTGGGGGAGAGGTCTGTGAGATTGCTCAGGTTACTATCAAGCCTGTCCTTTTGGTCCCAGCATGTCCTGGTTTTTCTTCTTTCCTGCCATCCCTCCCCATTGCCGTGTGAAATCACCACTGTGTTCTCTTCACTTGCTTTTTCTGTCGTGCCCCTTTAACTTCTCAGATTCTTTATTGTGCCTTTCTTCTCCTGCTCTGCACTCAGTCGATGCAGTTGGATCTGATGTCATGCCTGCAGTAGCGGATGGGGAAACTATATGACAATTCTAACCAACTTGATAAGGGGTGTAAAAATAGTCAACCAAGAGCCTTCAGTCCGGCACAACTTTACCTCTGTACTTGTGCTGCAGGACCTGCCCACTGTACAGTTTCCAAAGGGATTTAATTCCATGGCTTTCCACCTCAGTAAGTGAGACAGTATGTGGAAAAACTACCAGGCAAGCAAACTTCTCTTAGGGAACATCACTGAGATGACTTGGCTTTACCTACAGCAGTACTTTCTGCTTAAGGGGTAGCTCCCCTACTTCTTGCCACAAAGGGCCAAAAGCATGTCCACCTATTATGTAACCCAGAGCTTGGACATCTGTGCAGAGATGCAGAATGGCCACGCACGCAACGTGGGTTTCCCTTGGGGATAAAAGTTACGTGTTCACAACATAGTCTCAAATGGAAAAAGTGGAAATATCACCCAAAACACTTGTGCTCATAGCCTAGTTGCCTGTCCTAGTCCATCCCAGAAACAAGCCTAATTAAGCCCTCAGTACAACTGTTCTAGTCTTACCCTATTTTTTAAGTGGCATGCTAAACTTAACTGAGAAAATGAATTAGTGTTTATGGCAAGTAACCAGTCTGTACCAGATTCCTGCAGCATAGGAGGTCCCCACACACCTGTGGGAATGGACAGGAACACTTGCATGCCCTGGCACTCGCACTGATGCATTCAATATGTCCAGGAAGAGCACACACCAACTGCTGCAGCTTCCTTAGCCTGATGAAGGGTTTTTGAACCCGAAAGCTTGCTTAATAACTATTCTCCAACCATTTGGGTTGGTCTAATAAAAGATATCAAATTCACACAAGGAACCTTGTCTGCCTGTGTCCTTAGACCAACACAGCTACAACCTAAACCCCTGCAATACGCCCAGGCTTTCCTCCACCCTCTCTGCAGGATGGGAAAATGCCTACATTAACAAAATATTGGGCAACCTTTTACGCAGGACATTTTCTTGTGTGGATCAAGGATGAATGAGGCTCCAGTGCTGAGCTAGGTAAATAACTTGAGTTGAAAAAGCTTCTGGGAGCTGCTTGTAGCAACAAAAAGTCTGTTTTGCAACCACACCCAACGCACTCCTTTACAGCCAGTGCTAAAGCCTTCAGCCAACCCAACGTGCACACGTCATTAAATGAAACTCTTACCTCCTAGCTGTTTGAAAACTTCAGCTTTTAAAAAGTCATCCTTTCTTGCCACCACAAAGGAGAAAGGGAACCTCAAACCCCACAACACCCTGCCTCAGCCTTCCCACCACACCCAGGCAACCCCTCCCCTCCTCCCAAACACAAAACACCTTCTAGCATCCTGATCTTCTGCGTCCGTTAGCACTTGTCTGCTTCAGTCACTTTGCCCTCACCCTTTCCCTCCACACACACCAGGACCCTCGAGAGAACAGAGAAGAAGCATTCACTCCAAGTGGAAGAACAAAACATGGGACAAGGGAACCACCGGGGGAAATTCCCACCCCACACATGCAGCCAAGGGAGCACCTCAACACACTGCACAGGGTAGGCAGACAGCAGGGGGAAGGCCTCACCTCTGAGAGCCAGCACCCACCACAGCTGGCATCACACTGCAACACCAGCCATCCCCTCCCAATTCCAGAGGCAGGCACCTGCTGCAGGCAACAAGGAAAAACCTCAGCACAAAGAACTACAAAGGGCAAAGCAGAAATAACTAGCAGACTCAAACAACCCCAGATGACTCCAAGCAAGCTCTTACCAACTACTGAATCTGCCCAGCCAGCTCCAACACACCTCGCGGCATCCGATTCCTCCTGTTTCAGCCTCCATGGGCACTGCTCAGCTCTACTCCCTGAACCAGCATTTATTTCCCTCCACACAGGACAGGATCCTACAAGGGACAGAACAGGCTGTTCACCCCGAAGGGCACAAGTGAACAGAAGGGACCATCAGGTACAATTCCCACCCCACCCACCCAGCTCAAAGCTCCCCAAAGGGTGCCTTGCCAAGGCACACCCCCTCCAGCCATGACAAAAGCCTCAGCCCTTAGAGACACCACTCACCCAACCTGGCATAATTCTGCTCCTTCTCCAGCCCAGCCTTGTCCCCGATTGCCTTCCTCTCTGCACAGGGTACACAGGCACCTCCTGAGGGCACACAGGCAACTTCACTACCAAACAGAAGGGCAAAGGACAAACAACTGCCCCACTGGAATACAATCCCACACCTCTCCAAGTAACATCTTACTCACTACATGCTCTGCTCATGCACACAACTCCAGCAAAAGGGCAGAGGCCTCCTTCCAGGTGACCCAGAAGTCACCATTGGTGCGCAGTCGCCTGCATCCTCCACCTCCTAAATCGTTGTGGCTATAGGTTGCTTTACCTCTACCTCAGCTTGCTTCCGCTCACGGTCCAAACATTGGCATCACCCCAAAACAATAAGCAATTACTATGTGGAACTACTATATTACTACTCATCTCTCATTGTACTGAAGTGAAGACCCAACCCCTCCACCCACCCACCCACCCACAGCCCAGGGCTCCAGAAGCAGCACACAGCCAATGCCCCCAAACAAGGCAGGCAGGGTGCAGTCAAGCCCCTCCCCAAAGTGGGGAACCAGTTTAGGTGCCAACATGGCCCTCTTTCCAGCTCTGGGAAAAGCAAAGGAAGAATAAAAAGTGCTGCAGTGGTTTTAAAAATCAAACTAGAAAGAAACACCAGTGACAAACCCAGAGAGAGAGAACAAAGTGCAGTTCCCAGAACTGAAAGGAGGCCAGGGGCAGCACAGGCAGGGACACAAGCACCCGCTCCTCTGCCTCAGCAAACTCAAAGCCAAGATCTGCACCCACATGCCAGGGGCAAACCCTGAAACCACCTATATACTCAAAGGCTATTTTCAGCCTTTACAAAAGAACAAGGACTTGCAGGCAGGCTAAACCCAACCCAGGCTTACACCACCCAGCTCTGGGGCAACCCAGGAGGCTCCCTCCTCTACTCTCCACGAGTCATCAACTCCAGGTCTTTTCATTACACTTGCTTCTCAGACCCCAGAAACTTTGGCAGAAAGGCCAACCGACACCCCCGCCCCCCACAACCAAAAAAACCCCAGTTACAGGCAATTCCACTTGCAGTCCTCACAGCATGGAGGGCAGAACTCCCACCCAAAGAGTTACAGGAGCAGCTCTATTCCACCCTGCACCCCCTCCATAGGAACCAGTCACCCCCTCTATAAGCTTTCCCCTTCCAGAGGAAAGGAGTCAGTTTAGCAGAACAGCGCACAGCCACCCTACCCATTCTGGCTGCAGAGATTTTATTAACAATCTATCATAATAATTATTCTGTCTGTCCAGAGCACTCTGATGGGTTATTTCAGCAGCTAATCACAATGCTTAATGAAACAACCACAGTGCTCTGGAGCCTGCTCACAGATGCAGGCAGGCTCAGGGTGGAGGTGGGGGGGAAAGAGATCAGGCCCCCCACTGCTTCCCCACCCCCGCAGCAGAGCCTGCCAGTATGAGCGGCTGTGGATTGCACAGCCCCCGAGTTGCAGGGGGGCCTGGTGCTTCCCTCCATGGCAGCAGTTTCCCCCAGGGCTGCCCAAGCAGGGTGCTAGCTGCATGGGTGCAGCGCCAGCTCACAGGCAGCACCTGCTTGATCCAATGGTGCACCGGTTTCTGGAAGCCTGGGTGTGCTCAGAGAAGCTCAGGCTGGA